AGCGGGGGGGTGAAGGGCGCACGTCCCCAGGGAGGGGGCCGGAGGGACAGCCGTGTGCATCCGGAGCGCGGGGAGCCACCGGGGCCAGCACAAACGTTGGATAATGATTGACGAGACGTTTCCATCCCCAAATAACCTCCCTCCTGATGGGTCAGCGGGACGTTTCCCTGCCCCGCTCCCTCGGGGGCTCAGGACGGACCCCCTCTGCGGGCGCGGGGCCGCGCATCCCCGCGCTCTGTCCCCCACACCCGCTGTCCCTTCCCTCGCAGAAGCCCGGCGGAGCCACTTCAACGCGTCGGAGGGGCAGGTTCCTGCCAGGACGGCCGGCAAGCCCTCGGCACACCTCATCCTCCGCCCGCAGAGCCTGGCCCAGGACGGTGAGTCGGGGAGCCCCGGCGAGTGCTGGTGGGCTCCTGAGATGGGAACAGGGGAAAGGTCTCACCCAAAGGGCAGGGATGGGATGGGAGGACACATTGGGTGGCAGATGGGAAGATGTTTCTCCTGTCCGGTCCAAGACCACCTTCTCCACCTCTCCAAGCTGGATGACTGTGGGAGAGAGTTAGAGCCCTCCCCAAAGCATCTCGCTCCCCTCAGTGACCCTTCCTTCTCCCCAGGAAACTCCCGGCGCTTCGGGAACCTCTCCCAGTCGTGCCGCCACGCCATCGCCCGCTGGGAGGACAGCACCATCCCCTCCCACCTGCCGAAGGCTGCGCGTCAACCAGGCGGGCAAGTACTACGTCTACTCCCAGATCTACTTCCGCTACCCCAGCGACGGGGCCGGCGCCCGCGTCTCCGTCCCGCAGCTCGTCCAGTGCATCAACTGGAAGACCTCCTACAGCCAACCCATCCTCCTGCTCAAGGGGGTGGGCACCAAGTGCTGGGCTCCCGGGGCGGACTACGGGCTCCACGCGCTCTACCAGGGGGGACTGTTTGAGCTGAAGGCCGGCGACGAGCTCTTCGTCTCCGTCTCCTCCTTGGCCATCGACTACAACGACGCAGCAGCCAGCTACT